GTGAAAATGATGATTAAAAAACGTAAACAGATAAAATAGATGATGAAGGAGTGAAAATGATGATTAAAAAATGTAAAGGGACGAAATAGACGATGAGGGAGTGAAAATGATGATGAAAACACGTAAAGAAACAAAATAGATGATGAGAGAGTAAAAATGATGATGAAAAAATGTAAAGGGACGAAATAGATGATGAGGGAGCGAAAATAATGATGAAATAATGTAAAGGGACGAAATAGATGATGAGAAAGCGATAATGATGATGAAAGAATGTAAAAGGAAAGAAGGGATAATGAAGGAGCGAAAGTAATAATAAAAGTATAAAAGAAACAAGGTGAAAGTGATAAGAAAGTGATGATAAAACAAAGAGGAAGCAAAGGGAATGATATAGAGAATAAAAAGAATAAAAAACTGATTAGTACTGTAACTACTGTTTAGTAATAAAAAAACAATAACAATAAAACAGTAAGAAAGCAAATCTTACCTTAAATTCCTTGAAACTATTTGAAATTATTGTTATCTGAAGAAGACGATGTTAGCAAAAAGCAAGCAAAAAAAATAAATAAATCTATTTTCAAAACTAACGTGTAAAAGTATGTAGTACAAAATCACCTGGTGAATTTCACCAGGGTAAAATTAAAAATTTTAATAATTTGCAGATCAAGGTGAAATTCACCGGAGGTGAATGTAAAATTAATCCTTTTATTTAATATAATGCATAAAATATTTTTCTTTCAGCTTCTTTCTGACCCGAATTTTTGGTCCGTCTAAATTTAAAAAACTGTATTCAATAATGTATTAAAAAAAAAAGTTTCATGAAACATGTGAAAATAATTAAAAATAATGAAAATCATTTAGCCGAAATTTTTAAGTCGTACAGAAGATTTAGTTAGCAGTTAACAGTTAACGGTTACACTACATTAACTTATAAATTTCATTCAAATTGTTTAATTTACGACATAAAAAAAAAAAATGTCTACTCAATTTTTTTCGAAATTAAGTCAAAATCTTATTGAATTATTAAAAGATGATGAATATTATGATATTGCAATTGAAGTTGGAGAAGATCCTAACGTAAAAATATTTCATGCTCATACGAATATATTATGTTATCGTTCTCCGTATCTAAGAAGAACTATAGCGACAAATAAGAAAAATAATGATAATGTCTTAACTCATATTAGATTACCAAAAATCTCACCAGAAATTTTTCAAATAATTTTAATGTAAGAATTTTTAAAAATTTAATTTAACGTATCATAATCTTGATTTATATTCAATAACTCTTTTTTTTGTTATATACCATAGGTATATTTATGGTGGCATTCTTTCGTTAAATGGGCAAAACGTTTCAGAAAATTTGGAATTATTGGCTGTTGCTGATCAATTGCAACTTCAAGAATTAGTTGATTATTTGCAAAAGTATTTAATAGAAAACAAATCCATGTGGATTAAACAACATTTTGAACTTACACATAGAACAAGTTTTCAATCCAGTAATTTATTAGAACTTCAACAATGTTGTACAGATATTATGGCAAACACTCCAGAGCAAGTATTTAGTTCACTCGATTTTACTTCACTTCCAGAAAAATCTTTAGTTTCACTTATTAAAAGAGATGATTTACAAATGAAAGAAATTGAAGTTTGGGAAAATGTATTAAAATGGGGTCTTGCAAAAAATCAAACCATTGTTTCAAAACCTCTTGATAAATGGACAGATGATGATTTTAAAACAATAAAAAATACTTTACAGCACTGTATACCTTTGATTAGATTTTATAGTTTATCACCTAAAGATTTCTTATGTAAAATATATCCTTATAAAAAATTACTTGATCAACAACTTTTTGAAAGTTTGTTAAGTTCTTATATGAATCCTGACAGTGAACCAAGTGATAATAACATTTTGCTTCCCAGAAATATAAAAATTGATGAAATTATTGATACAAAAATTGTTAATTTGAATATAATTTCGATTATTTTTAGATGGATTAATAATGTGGATTATAATAGTAAATATTCATATTTGAGAGAGTTATATTTACCATACAAATTTAAATTGATATTAAGAGGAAGCAGAGATGGATTTACTCCTACAAAATTTCATGAATTGTGTGATAATAAATCTAATACAATTACATTTATTAAAGTAAAAGGAACAGATGAAATTCTTGGTGGATATAATCCTTTAACATGGACACCTTCTGGAAGTTATCATCAAACTATGCATAGTTTTATTTTTTCCTTTAAGAGTAAGTGTAATTTAAAAAACGCAATTTTAAGTAATGTAAAAGATATAGATCACACTATAAATAATCGTGTCCTTAATCATGGAATATTTTTTGGTGACGATCTTATGACATGGGGGTCAAATATATATAATGATTATGATCATTTATACTCTAAAAAACTGTATTATGAGAAAAAGATTAGAGATGATGATAAATTTACAATAGAGGATTATGAAGTATTTCAAATTATTACTAAAAATTAAACTAGAATATTATTTCGAGTTTATAGAGATTTACATTCATGATTATGCTAAATTTAACTTTGATGTATACACTTTAATTTTGCTAAAAATGATAATTTGTATTTCACTTATGTGCTTACATAAATATATTTCGTATACTTTTTACTTGTTATAATGTATTCATGAACTTTATATATTATTATTCCCTTATGGTAAGCGTACTACTTGTTTTAGAGTTTAAATATTAAGAATTTTTATCAATAAACAAAATTTTGCGGAACGAATAATAAATTGCAAAATTTTGCAATAACAATATTACTGTAATTGATTAGAAACTAAAATGAGAAATATCGATCTTTGATCAATTTTAATACAGTTATGGAAAACTATCAAATAACTATTTTTATTCAATATTCCTTATAGGACTAGTATTGTTGTACTTTGTAAGTTTGCTAAAAATTTAAAAATAGAATATAAATCGTATATTAAAATATTAATAGTAAAATAAAAATTAAATATGTAAATAAAACGTATTAAATTGTATACTAATTGTATGTAACTGTAAAATAATACTTTATAATTTTTCATGTATAATCCCCATATTTTCGATTTATAAAAAAATATTTGTTATATAAACCATTTTAATAATATTTAATATTTTTTTTATAATAATTACTTTATAATATTCCTAGTAATTCTATTTACATATAACATATAGATTATTCTTTAATATTTTTTTCCTACATTTTTACTAAACCACTTTTATTAAATTGATGTTTTTAATACTATTAACTAATTATAATTTATTAGATAATTTTAATTTATAGCCAAAATATAACGTAAAAATGAATATGAATAAGAATAAAAAAAATGTAGTAATTGCAGTAGACCATTTGATCCACATCGAAGGATGAACCAGTTGAAATAATTATTATATTTATTTATATTTTGAAAGTCCAATTTATGATTATTAAAAGGAATTCTTTTTTAATAAAACAATAGACTCTATCATGGTATTATCTTTTATTTATTTATATTTATTATTTTTCTACATATGCACTAGATTAAATAAAAATAATTTGAATAAATACTAATAATTTTCATCAATTATGTAATTATATAAAAAATTTCCCATACAATTCATTAGCCCTACTAACTAATAGTGATTTTGTAATGGGTTTCTTTGTCGTCCTAAAATATTGTATATTGTTTGCATATTTAATTAATCAATGAATTTTAAAGAATTTCACAAAATGATTCGCCATTAGTAGTCAAATATGTAATTAAAAAACAAACATTAATTAGGCGTTTTGATCAATTTAACCTATTTTTATCTTCCTAATCCGAATTATTGGTACAAGTATTGTATTTGAGATGTATTATTAAACTGATAAAGGTATCTTATTCTTGTATTTTAATTGATAAAAAATGTAGAAATGTAGAAATGTAATTAAAATTTAAAATTTAAATATTTATAAAAATTAAATAAAGATCTTTAATAAGAATTTTTTACAAATTGATTCTTTAAATTATTTTTTAATACATCTGATAAATACAAAATGATTACATTAATAGTAATGGCTTCTCTCAAATATTTCCAGAGAATCGGAATGATTATTTCACACCAGGTTTTTATTTTCAGTATGCATAGCACGATCCTTTATTTTCATACCATTGCATCACATGACGTAAATTCTTTAAATGATCTGCAGATTTATCATTAATTCTGGCCAAATTTAGCCACAATATCAATAAACCCTGAATATATTTCTTCTGTTGAATATCACCAAAAAAAAATTAAGTGACGGATTTAATGTAACTCATTGTTCGGAGCAAATTGTATTTGTAAGGTTTGTTTTATACCCTGCCTAGATGTACTCTTCTGTAAGCACAGTATAAATATAGAAAGTGGCTGTTTAACGCATGTGGCTATTTGATTGCGCCTGAAGCTGTATAAGCTGTATACGAAAGTCCAAATTTTCACATACTTGTTTTATTTATTTATCAACTAAATTTCATAATTGATGCTTAGCTTTAAATAAAATCATAAAGCCACTCGATTATTATACGTTAGAGATTTTTTGTTACTATTATTTAATAACAAACGAAAACTCTTTCAAGATATGTAAACAAGAATTATTATTTAAAAATCTGTCAGACCAATAATGTGACTAGAAGAAAATAAATTTTTTTGTACTTTCATAATTTTGGTATTCAAGTAAAATTTTTATTTGAATTGTAAAAAAGTTAACTTTTTCGTTTTAGCACTACCCCTAAAGTATCCAATAATAATTTGTGAGTTTCAAATAATACTTGTGAGATGTCAGTATTATATAAGGTTATATAAGGTTATCTAAGGGTATACCATATACGTAAACTTGAGGAGCACAATATATTTTAAACGTACTATACAGTATATGGAGTTTATAACATAGTCAGTAAATAATTAATATGAAAATAAGCCACAATTGATAAATAAAAAGCCTAATTGATATTAGTAAATAAAAAGCCCCCTGATTATAAATAATATAAATATTTCTCTCCCTAACTATTTGAATTTTTTTTTCAATTCCCCTTAATCATTTTTTTTTTATTTTCCCAGAATTATTTTTTATAAACTTATCAATTTTTATAATTTAGTTTTTACTCTTATATAAAGTACGGCCATTTAAAAATTTTATCATCACAAATATAAAGTAATATATTTACTCTATAGTTTAAAAAAAAAATATTTATTAATACAAGTATTAAATAATATATGTATCACACAATAGGCCAAATGTCAAATTAAGAACATTAATTATGCTTCAATCTTATGATATTTAGGTCATTTTAAACTATATCATTTTGAAATTTTGAAAACATTCTTTATATTATATAATGAAATGTGAATAATTTAATATCATTAATAATGCAATAAATTCTTCCACTAGTACTTGAAAGTCATATTACCTATTAAAGTTAATGGAAAAAATATTGTGCCAAAATGTCGGATTTCATATAAAAAAAATTTTATTATTTATATTTATTCAAATTATTTTTAGCAAAGTGCAAAAATCAAGATAAAAAATGTTTATTTATTAAAACTGTTTCCATGAATATATTCTGGAGTATTATTGAAAAATATGAGAATACCAGGTTACCATATTGGCAAGACTAAAAGAACTCTGATCATCAAATGGAATTATCTTCTGCAACCAAAAGAATTTTTTCGAAATTTTAAAGTATAATAATTGAAGCCAAAAATTTTTTATTATGGATACAGCTTTAAGAACTACACAAATATCATTTCCGAATAGTGCTTAAAGTGCTGGACTCACGGGTACGAACAGGTCCATTGTATGTACTGAAGAAAGGAGTCTCATAAATGTGTAAGCAATGTCAACAATCTTCGTATCCCTCATACCCCTCGCAACATTCCTCGTCACAGCAGATGGATTCAGAACACGAGCATACAAAAGTTCCAAGCATCCGAGTGTCAAGTATTTATGATGCTGAAATGTATAGAAGTTTTGTCATATATAAGAATTCATATAAGAACAATAAGTCTTTAAGAATAAACTATTGGGTTCTTGCATTATTATTTTTTTAGAAGATTTGAATTTCAGCAGCATAATGTGAAATATATATTAAATTACAAATATGGACAAGATTTATTGTAATCTATTAATATTATTTAACAAATTTTAAAGGAGTGGATGTAATTTAATTTAAACATTTGGTATTTTTAATTAAAATTATTGCAAATGTTTTTTTTTGTATTATAATAATGTGGAAGTACGAAAATTAATGGATAAGATTTCTATATTAAAAACAAACATGTTAATGAAATCACATTGGAAAGTCATCAAGCATGATTTTTTATATAAATTTTTTTGTACAAAAAAGATGCAAAATTTAAAAATGTTTATAGAACAAGATTTTACAACATTTGATGCCCACATCAAACAATGTAGAAGGAAATTCAGTCATAAAAAAGGTTACTTTCATCAGATCATGCACATAAAAGTTTATGGATATGCTAAAGGTTGAATGGAACAAAGAAGAGTTGAACAGACATTTTTAATGAGATGTGAATACTTTATTTAGCACTAAACATGTTATCAATTATTTCTATAAGTGATAATGCAGACATCATTTATCATTATTAATCCTGATGTAATACTGTAAATATTAATTCTGAAATCAATTTTAATTTTCAAGTAAATTATTACAGTATTAACAAGAGTTAATATAACCAATTTCTCAAAATTATTTAAATATAGTAAAGTCTCTTGATTTTTTTTAAACAAAAACAACTATAAAATCGATTCCTAATTGTCATTAATACAGTGAAAAGAGACAGCTTAATCAAAAGAAAAATTAAGGAACATGAAATTAAACTTGTTATGTAGTCGATCATTACACATAATGATCAAATAATTTTTTTAACAAACAACATGAAATAGGCTGGAATCAAATAGTATCTTTATTGGATAATATTTTTTTAAACAATCAAGTAAAAGTTGCAATAACTATATATTTATACTTAGAATTAATAATTAGTAATGAATTATTAAACTAGTAGTAGCTATTTACTATCATTACCCTTTTCTCAAAAAGCCTGAAACAAGGATGGAGAGGTGGATCTCTGGCCAGGATCTCGATCATTCCTTTCATACTAATGATGGCTACAATCTTACGGATTATATTTACAACAACCTAACACAAACAATAGATGACAACAAATTGCAGGATACAAGTGATTATACTACAAATAATGTCTTATCTTTTTCTGAT